GATCCTTGCCAATAGGAAGGAATGTGATTCCCAACAATTAGCCTAGCGTTGGTTGCCTATAATATTTGATATGGCCATGAAGATCAGATGACTACAAATAATATTACAACCAAGGATAATTATCCTTATGGCACAAGTTATTTACAATATTTATCTTCATTTAAGCAAGGTAGCGTGGAGAGTAGTAACTTAAGAACTTATGTTTCGGTTTTAATAGGTTGCACCTTTCACTTATGGAAAAAATATTATTAGCATGGTTGATTTTTTTTTTCAAACAAAGTTCGAACTACAGTGTTTGATTTTTTTATGGCTTAGAAAACTTAGTTAAATTACACTTACTCCTATGGAGATTCAATGAGAGCTACAAACTAAAGACTATGGCTATTGCTACATGCAGAGTGTTGGTTTGGGAACCAGTCTCTTGTCTTTGTTTCTCCTATTTATAACCATCAGGTGTAACTTACCTAGTAACCACTAGCTTTCCGGTTGCTCCAACAGCCTCGGGGTCCTCTCGCCGCATTGGCGACTAGTTGGTAACTTTCATATTCTTGGTGTGTACTCCCACCGCTTTGAGGACCCCTCGTCCCATGGTGACTAGTTGGTGTCATCTTGATTGCCTCAACACGAGCTGGGTTGGTGTTGAATCGAGGGTCACCAAGTCTTATTGCTTTCTTGACTATATGGGGTTGAATCCTTCTTGTCTTCCCTCCATGATGACATCCTGATCACACTCCCGATGCCCTCAATGGCATACCGAGCTTCTTTAGTTCTTTCACCTTGCTAACCACCTCGTGAATCGGTCTTGTTAGCTAGGTCTTGTTATCCATATTGATAGGATGAGAACTATGGGTGGGCAACGGGACGACACGACATATCTGTCCCGGTTGAAACGTATACCCAATGCCATATGGAGAGCAATCTCCATCCAATGTCCCATACCCATGCGGGTTAACGAGTACCCATTACCCGTATGGGATGGATAATGGGTACCCATACTACCCATAAATACCCGTTCAATTTGGAGTAGCAGCGTTGACCGCGGGGAATGCGCGTCGTAAACTTATGGGCCTGTGGAGATTCCTGTGTCGGAGGGGAAATCGCTTTATAGCTTTGCATTTTGGGCAGTGATCAGTCAGTTGTCTTTTGCGTTCATGGCTTCATGCGCATGCGACTACTGCTCGGTTAATGCCAACACCTATCTAATGGTCGTTGTACTATATCCTAGCTAATACCCTACACTTAAACTTGTTTAAATACATATTATCATCATGATAGAAAGGATCCCTTAATCACTGGTGTACCATCTTCAGGTTTGCAAATCTTGTTTCATTATTTCTTACTTTCTCCACTAATACATATTACAATCATTAGTGGCTACCAATTTTGCATTGGACTAATGGGTATAACGGTTACCCGTAATAACCAAATGGGTATTAACGGGTAATGCGTGAGTACCCGAAATAACAATTCTTGATCCCAAGTCCCATCCCGTAAAAAAATTACGGGTATTTGGGTACCCATAACCCTAAAAAAATGGGACGCGTACGGGTGTACCCAAATACCTGTTTCCCGTTTCCCACCCCTAATGATAACTTAATCCCTTCCACGTCTAACTACATGGCTACTCACTCATCAAGGTCCCATGCTTAGTCTTAGAGAGCTCGGTATAGCTTGCCACTAAGCCCGACTTGTTGGATTGTTAGCAAGTTCATCTCGCTAGCTTGTTGTTATGTCATCTTAACACCAAGTATCTCATCGGCTTTATACCTAGCCAACTTGTCGACTTGCCACCTTATCACCTTGCTGGCAAGCCCAACTTGATACGCTACTATCTTGCCTACAAGTTGGTCTTGTTAGCATGACTATCCCATCTCCTAGGGTTGGTTTTTCATCAAGTTTGTACTTTGCCGACTTGCCTTCTTGGTACCCTGTTATCCTGTCATCTTGCCGGCTAGGTACCATGTCATTCTTGCCACAAAACCCGTCTTGAAGGTTTGATCTCCATACTTAATTTGAAGTTTCATCAAGTTGGTACTTTTCCACCTTATCGACAAGCCCTTCTCATTAGTTTTCTATTAGGTTCCATACTATAGTTTTTTTTAGACATTTGGTTTCATGTTGTCGGGCTTGTCAACTGGTTAACAAGTTGATCTCGTCGGCTTGGTACCTTTCCAAATAAGGCACTAATCCCGAGGTTCCATACTTAGTTTTGAAAAGTTAAGTTTTGCACTACTAAACTTGTCAGGTAAACCCAAGCATGACACCATTTAAACTAGCCACCAGGCACGTGTTAGCAACCCGGTACCTTGCCTCCTTGCCAGCTTGGTACCCTGTCAGTTTGCCACCAAACTTGTCTTGTCGGCTTGGTACTCGACCAGCTTGCCACCAAGCCATCATCATTTTAGTCATAGTTCTAAAGACTTAATTTCATACCCCCGACTTGTTATGCTTATGTCTTGACACCTAGCCTATTAAGATTGGCCGACCATTTAGATTAAGGAAAGGAGGCGGCAGGGCACTGAGATTAGGGAGTGGTGGTGGGCCACTTAGGTCAGGGAGATGGAACTCAGCCACATAGACCAAAAATAAAATCAATCAGGCCCAGCTCGCTCATTTTATGTTTAATGTTCAGCTAGCCTTATAAAGCCGCCAAATTCCTTGAAATTAATCAATGTGATACAAAGTTAAATTTTTACGGTAAGCAAATTTTACCACAAGTTGCAACTCTCAAGCAGAGAAAACCAAATTTCTGAAACGCGAAACTCAAAACTGCTTTTCACTTTTGAGGTTTCTTTGTACAATTTGGCTATAGAAAGCAGAGCTATTCTATTATTAGGAAAGAGATCCGTGTGGATTGTGGAATGACTAGTCGTATTAGGCACCTCAATTAGGAGACCAGAATCTACACCCAACATTATTACGTATAACCCTAAACTTACCAGTTATGAAATGCAAGTAATTTTCCACCAATTAATTTTAAGTATTTCTTTGGTATTAAGTCGTAGTTTAATTATTTTTTTTTTACGGATAAATCTGATTACTTATGTTCTTCAAAATAACATCCATTTGATAAAATAAAAAAATTTGAGGCTAACTCAACTAGAACTAGAACACCCCAACTATAAAAACTGGGTAAATTGCAAGGTTGGTCACTAAGATTACTAAAAACGTTTATGTTTAGTCATTGAAAATAGGCCAAATTCACTCGCATAGCCAAAACTTTGACGGTTGTGACAAATATAGCCAGTTTTGGAGAAATACCAAAAATAGCCAGAATTTTGAAAGTTCGATGACAAATATAGCCATTTCCGTTACATAATTTGACAGCGTCAATGACACCGTTAGTCAAACTAACAGAATGCTTGCTTGGCTGCCAACTCAACGGACACATCATCGACAACTCAACAACACTTATCACATGGATGCCATGTCATATTTTAATTTAAAAATAAATAAAATATCGTACAAATACAAAAATCAATTCTTCCCTTCATCTCCATCGACCCCACCCCCAATCACTACCACTACCCCAAATCGTCGTCGTTGCTCCCGTCCGTCATTACTGCCAATCTCTCTTGCTACCAACCAGCGACGATAACCTCACCAGCTATGCCAAAAAAAAAACACACACACACAGACAATTTACCAGGAAATTGCAGGAGGAGATGCGATGAACAAGCCTGTTTTCCTATATGCGATGGAGAAGCCAATTCACACACAATCCCTTACCTTCACTCTCTTTTGTTGAGGCATGATCTGTTTTCCTATATAACTAACTAAGCATTACATCCGAAGGAGGAACAAACAACAACAGCTGCTGCTTATGTCAAAAACGAAACAGAAAATCACACCCTCAATTGGGTATAAAGAATTGGACGAAGCTATCAATTGGATATTAGGGATTTCGCTTTTACCCACACCCATCTGCCTCATCCTTCTCTCTACCTCTGTTGTCGGCGATGGATATTGAAACAAGGAAGATGGCGACTTCTTCTCCCGCTTCCGCCAGTGAAACCGAGACCCTCGCCATGGATCCGGCGAATAAGCTCGAAATCATGCGAGATCTGAGGGATTTCGCGGAGGGGCAGGAGCAGATGAGAGATGATTGATTAACCTCAGGATTCAGAAGAAGGGCTGCTGGAGCGGCGGAAATAGAGGAGGCTCGCGCGGCTTCTACGTAGTTGCTACCGGTTTGACTGATATCAGAAGCAGATTCGGGAGGATTTTTGGAATAGGAGTGACGGCTGGGTTAACGCATGCAAGGGGAATGAAGAGAGAGAGAGAGGAGAGAGATTGGAGTAGAGAGAAGTTTGCAAGAAGGTGGAGAGGTTGAGGGCGAGGGAGGCGGCGATGGATTGGGGGTGGGGTGGGGTTGAGGGCGAGGGACGCTGTGGAAGACGATGAACAGGTTGGGAAGGGTTTGCAAAGCTGTGTTGGCGATGGAATTTTTTTTAGGGATTTTTTTGTTGTTTTTGTTTGTTAAGTTTATGTACGTGGGAAATACAAAGCATTTTATTTTTTCCTAACCTTTTAATATTTTTTTTAAATCCACGTGGAAAATACTTATGGGTCGGAAAACGCCACGTCGGACAATCCGTTAGTCCAGTCAGCACGTTAACTAACACCGTCAAATAATTAGACGGAAGTGGCTATTTCTGGTATTTCGCCAAAAGTGGCTATATTTGGCAAAATCGTCAAAGTTTTGGCTACACAAATGTATTTGGCCTTGAAAATATTTAATTCCATTTATGGTCACTAGATTTAGTCAAATATGTCATATTTGGTCACTCTCCGTCCAATTCCGTTAATTTTGTCTGATGTGGCAGTCAACTTTTATAGTTGACCGTTAAATATATGATGTAGCAATTAAAAATAAAAAATAAAAAAAATTCCACTTCATTATTTCCGTTAAAATATTATTATTCGTTCTAATTCTCCCCGCCTCACGAACTAAGCTCATCCCTCATTCTAAGACCCGAGATTTCTAGCCCTCACAAAACTCAAATAGTGGCCGCGGCGAAGGGGAAGGATGGCGAGCAGATGGAGGGTTGGTTGCGCCGGAGTAGCGGTAGATGGAGGGTCGATTTCTGGAACCTCAATAAACCGATCTTATAAGAAACAACGATGCCGAAACCTGATCCGTCGCCGCCGCGATTTTCCCAGAAGAGGCCTTCCCCCATGGATTTCCAATCGAGAAGGCTTCCGTTGGCATCAACGATTTGAGCGTCCACTGACAACCCTAAATTCGTACCCACTGCCGCTGAAGTGATCGCCGACGGCCACCGTGGGGCATACTCTGGCGAGAAAGTCGTGAACTTTACTCTTTTCCCAAATTGCATAGTAGAGTTCACCTAGAATAGCACCAGAGTGAACCCAGGCCGACGTCGCCTCGATATCAACCTCGATCTAAAGCGGATTGGACATGTCAAGAAGGAAGATCGGAGAATCCGAGACGTAGGAAAGTCCCTAGAAAACATGGCCGCCACTGCGGATTCTCAGTCGATAACCGATCCTTCTTGTGCATAAAACGGTGTACTGGACGTTGGGGATACTTGTAGGCGGGACGATGATTAGAGGTTTGAGGGGGGAAATTGAAGCCAAGATTCCACTAAACCAGAATCCATCTCGCCTTGCGGGTGTCACCACTGCTCCGGCGGCCGGCGCAACCAACTCTCCATCTCCCGCTGTTCGCCATTCCTTCCCCTCCGTCGCAGCCCAGGATTTGGATTTTGTGAATTGTGAGGGCTAAAAATCTCAAGTCTGACTAAGAATGAGGGGTGTGGTTAGTTCGTGAGGGGTGTGGAAATTAAAATGAATACATTTTTATTGTTAATGGTATTGATTAGGTGGAAATTCTAATTCTAATTATTTTTATTTTTTTAATTGCCACATCATACATTTAATGGTCAACTATAAGAGTTGACTGCCACATCACACAAAGTTAACGGATTTGGATGGAGAGTGACCAAACTCGAACGATTTTACTAAATCTAGTGACTACGAATGGAATTAAATATTTTCAGTGACTAAACATGAACGTTTTTAGTAATTTCAGTGACCAACCTTGCAATTTACCCTATAAAAACTTATCATTTTTATCTTCTAAGTATTCAATAGGAAAATTCTATAACAACATGTGAGACCATTGTGTCATTTGTATGCGGAAGTTTTTGTTGACCATTAGATATAACTAGGAATGCAATGGGGCAGGTCCGGGTCGGGTATCTCGATACCCATACCCGCCCCATGGCAGGTCGGGTAATTTATTACGGGGCGCGGGTCGGGGCAGGTCGACCCAATGGGTATGTAATTTATGTGAAAAATATTAAAAATATTCGTTATTTTCATTAAAAGACCAAGAAAGAAACCATAATATGATAAAATCTAGTTAAATTATTGAAGAAATTGAGATTTTCACTTAATTGCAACTTTATTATAGCTAAAATATAATGTAATAAGAGGAAAATCCTAAGTAATTTGACTAAGATTACATGTAATTTTGACAAGAATGGGTCGAGAATGGGTCGGGTCGATGAGAAGTACCCATGCCCCCCCCGCCCCAAAACAGGCCAAACAGGTCAGGTAAATCGAGTCAGGTCAAAATTGTCATCCCTAGATATAACGATTGACCAAATGGTGCTCCACTCGATATTGACTTTTGGTGACGTGGCACAAACGTGTTAGCTACTTTGATGTCATGTCATTGACACATCATATTATTTGTTATTTAAAATTTTAAACTAAAAAGCATCAAAAGTAAAAATAATAATAATAAACATCATCCCTTCTCATTTCCGTCCTCCTTGCAATGTCTTCCTAATTGGCACATCGCCACCAGCGGCTCCCACTTCTCTACTACTCCACCCGTCAGTGCTTCTCAAAGTTTCGACCACGGAATGTGAGGATCGGGTGCGGGGATAATACTCGATCCCGCAGACTGCCATTGCATGCCTCCGCACGTGCTGCTCTGTCAGAGGAGGATAAATGCTATGCCATGGTGCCTATCACGCCGGTGAACGCTGTTAGGAACGGAACAATTATAAGAACAAGGTTACCGAATCTGGAGCTGAGTCGCGGACTAGGTCGCTCTCTTTAAGACGTTCGCGGCACTGCCTTCGGTGCGCACAGCAGACTATCAACCGGTCGTCTCCAGGATAAAACAGCTCCTCTCAATACTCGCGGTTTTGTGCGAAAACCGAAGCTCTCTAAACACTCTCTCTATTGTGTTTCTGCTCGTTATTTTTTGTGTTTAGAGGGGTTGGGGAGGCAGCTATTTATAGGCGCTGAACCCCTAGGAATATACCCTCTTGTTTGGGGAATAAGTAGGATTAATTAAGGAAGATAAACCGCCGGATTAATTAATTCCGTCGGATTAATTACGTCCTTAATTCCTTCGGATTAATTACTTCCTTAATTCCGTCGGATTAATTACGTCCTTAATTCCGTCGGATTAATTACGTCCTTAATTAAAACCGTCGGTTAAGAACCCGAAGGGATTATCCTTTCGAATACTCCGTTGTAACCGATTAATAATTAATTATTAGATAATTAATTTCGTTCGGAATTTCTATAGTCTCAAGTGAACCAACCAACTAGAGACTCTATAGCTTTCAAAGCTATTCATATATATTTCCAACAATCCCCCACTTGAATAGTTTTGAAACTATCTCTGAGCATTAACAGTTCATAAGACCGGGCATAAGCTAAGGTAGCGCGAAGATTTGAACCTTAGCGTAGTGGTTACACTTCCGATTTCATAAGGGTGACTCGTAGTCTTGAACCCTATCTCAGACAGTGCAGCACACCGGATCTTTTCATTGAGTTGTGTTCTCTTCATAGCCCGTGCGTTTATGGCCCTGCACGTTACCCTGGTTTAGTGAACGCTCTAGCAACTTTGTGCCTCCAAAGTTCCATAGGGAGCGGCCCCACTCCCACATTCACATAGGTGAGTCTATCAAGAGTACCCCCAAAGTAAAGTACTCCACTCCACATAGGGTATAGATCTCATTAAGAGTTATTAACTCAACCTCCAATGCATTGGGATTCATGCTTCACTATGCATGAACTTTTCGCATACTACTCATGACTTGTTATTACCCATTGAACCCATTTCTTGGGATCTCCAGTCTATTGGGTCGGGTTACCATCACTTGTAGTCCGTGGTTCGGTAGGCATAAGTCCCATACCCTTGGCGGTATTTTGAACTTTCTCTCTAGGTAATCCTTTCATCAAAGGATCAGCTAGATTCTGTTCGGATCTTATATGATCCACCCTCACTGCTCCTATCGTTAGGAGTTCTCTTACAGTACTGTGCTTACGGCGAATTTGTCGTTTCTTTCCGTTATAGAACCGGTTCTCAACTTTAGCGATAGCTGCGGTACTATCACAATGGATCAATACCGGAGGGACCGGCCTTTCCCATAGGGGAATCTCTGACAACAATCCTCTCAACCAACATGCTTCTTCACTAGCCGTTGCTAATGCTATCATCTCTGATTCCATAGTTGATTGAGCTAGGATTGTTTGTTTCTTTGACTTCCAAGACACAGCTCCACCAGCGATGTTGAAAGCATACCCGCTAGTTGCCTTGGAGTCATCTGATAGGGTATTCCAATCCGCATCACTATACCCTTCTAGTACAGCAGGAAACCTTTGATAGTGTATACCAAAGTTTACTGTTCTCTTGAGGAATCTCATGACCCTCTCTATAGCATTCCAATGCTCTCTACTAGGACAGCTGTTAAACCTGCCAAGCAATCCCACGACATATGCAATGTCTGGTCGATTGTAATCCGCAGCATAACGGAGACTGCCAATGATGCTAGCATATTCTGATTGTCTTACACTGTCTCCAGTGTTCTTAAATAGCTTTACACTAGCATCATACGGAGTACACGCAGGTTTACAGTCGAAATAGTTATATTTCTTCAAGATCTTCTCTATGTAGCTAGATTGATCTAGAGAATAACCATTTGCTGTTCTAGTTATCTAGATTCCAAGCATAAACTTTGCTTCTCCCAGATCTTTCACTTCAAAGCTCTCTTTCAACATGTTTTTTGCTTTATTGACCACGTGAATATTTGTACCAAATATCAACATGTCATCTACATACAAACATATGATAGTACAAGTGTTATTTTCTGACTTGCAGTAAATACACTTGTCACTTTCATTCACCTTAAAGCCATGTGAGAGAACGAGAGTGTCAAACTTCTCATGCCACTGTTTTGGAGCCTGTTTCAAACCATATAATGATTTGTCTAACTTACAGACTTTCGAGGCATGTTCGGGGATAACAAACCCTTCTGGTTGTTCCATATAGATTTCTTCATCCAGATCACCATTCAAAAAAGCGGTCTTAACATCCATTTGGTGTACCACGAGATTGTTCAAGGCAGCAAGAGCAATCATTACACGAATGGATGTTATTCTAGATACTGGTGAATAGGTATCGAAGAAATCTATATTCTCTCTCTGCCTGTAGCCCTTAACTACTAGGCGAGCTCGGAACCTTTCGATTGCACCATCAGGCTTCCGTTTCGTTTTTAGAACCCATTTATTACCTAAGACTTTGCAGCCAGGAGGTAAGTCTGTTAGATGCCAAGTCTTATTAGCTTCCAACGATTCCATTTCATCTATAACAGCCTCATTCCAAAAATCTGCATCTACGGAAGTTAATGCTTCCTGCAAACTTTTTGGATCTTCGAGGGTGAATACTGTAGTAAAGTCATCACCAAAATCTTTAGATATTCTGGCTCTTTTACTTCTTCTGAGTTCATCCTCAGAACCAACACCCCCACTAGTTCCGTTATCTCTAATAGCGGGTAGTACATTACCCCCACTATTTCTCGTTTTAAATGGAAATCGTGTCTCAAAGAAATCAGCATCAATGGATTCTATTATAGTACGAGCATTCAAATCATAGAATCTATATGCCTTGCTATTGGCCGCATAGCCAACGAAGACACATTCATATGCTCGACTAGCCAATTTAACCCTCTTAGGATCCGGAATTCTTACATAGGCCAAACAGCCCCACGTTCTTAAATAGGATAGATTAGGTGGCTTATTCTTCAAGATCTCATAGGGTGATTCTTTTCTATTCGTCTTTGGAAGACGGTTTAGCACATAGCAAACTGTCAACAAAATATCACCCCACCAAGAAGAAGCAGCTCCAGAATTGAGCATAATAGCCACAACTAATTCTGTAAATGTCCTATTTTTCCGCTCAGCTTTACCATTCATTTCTGGTGAATATGGTGCCGTGGTTTCATGAATGATACCATGTGAGCTATAGAATTCCTTGAAGGGATTAGAGTCATACTCTGATCCTCTATCACTCCTAAGTCTTTTTATCTTTCGATTGCACTGGTTTTCAAATTCAACCACAAATACCTTGAACATATCAAGGGCTTCACTTTTGTTTTTCATCAAATAAACAAAGCAATAATCAGAGCAATCATCTATGAAAGTGATAAAGTATCTCTTGCCAGACCTAGTTAACGTCCCATCTAGTTCACAAATATCAGAATGAATCAGATCTAAGGGTTCTGACTCTCTACTCACAGATTTATGGGGCGTTTTCGTTATTTTAGCTTGGCTACAGAAATCACATTTATCAAATTCATTCATTGAGAGTTTAGGGATATGTCCTAGCTTGCTTAAATTCTTCACAATTCGTGTGTTCACATGACAAAGACGAGCATGCCAAACATTCAAATCACACACCATGTAAACTGAAGAATTCATCTTATTAATTTCGACATTCAACTTGAACATCCCATTACATGCATATCCCTTTCCCACAAAACTCCCATTCTTAGTAAGGGTATACAAGTCTGCCCCAATAGTTTGATTAAACCCAGCCTTATTAAGAAGATATCCCGAAACAAGATTCTTCCTTATCTCTGGAGTGTGCAACACATCCTTGAGCACCATCTTCTTCCCAGAGGTGAAGTTCAGCTCCACTTCACCAGAACCAGCAACCATAGTGGTGTGAGTTGTCCCCAGCAACACTTTCTTGTCAGCAGGTGCTTCTGTGTATGTTTTAAACATAGCACGATTGTTGCATACATGCTTCGATGCACCTGTATCCAGCCACAATCCTTCAAAGTCACCGGTGAGGTTAACTTCAGCGATCATATCTGTGATCATGGCTATCAAATCCTCTTCTGTCAAGTTAACCCTGGCCGCAGCGGCAGGGTTTTGCTTGTTCCGGCACTTCTTTGCCATATGACCCGGTTTTCCACAGTTATAGCAGATAAACGGTGGGTCATTCTTAGAGGTTTGGACCATGACCCTTTGGTTACCTCGAGCGGCACCATTCTGGTGGAGGCGGACCTGCTGGTTCTTACTCTTAAACCCTTTCTGGTTAGGTTTAAGAGCTCTAGGGGTGGGTCGTTTAGCAGTGACGACCATCACCTCTTCTTTCATATCCTGCTTTCGGGACTCTTCCTCAATCCTTAGCCGAGTAATCAAACTTTCCAGTGAAAATTCTTTGGTTTTGTGCCTAAGCATATTCTTAAAATCTTTCCACGAAGGGGGCAGCTTATCAATAATGCAAGCAACTTGAAATTGATCGTCCAGAGGCATACCTTCAGAGACGATCTCATGAGCTATTTTCTGAAGTTCGTGGGACTGAACTTCGACGGACTTGTCATCCACCATCTGGTAGCGCAGGTAGCGGCTGACAGCATACTTCTTAGCTCCAGCCTCCTCCGTGTCGTACTTCTTTTGGAGCGCATCCCAGATCATCATTGCGGTGTTCTTATTGTCCGCATAGTAGTCGTAAAGATCGTCTGCCAGGCCGTTGAGGATGTAGTTCTTGCACAGGAAGTCATGCTCCCTTTCTTTGGCAGCAGCAGCCCTCTCCTCATCGGTCGCTTCTTCCGGCAGTTCGACGGGCATGTTGGTGAGACAGTGGGCCAGCTTTTTGGTCGTGAGGTAGAACTCCATCTTTTGCCTCCAGCGACGGAAGTTGACCCCAACGAAGCGAAAGGGTCGATTGATATCGACAGCACCAGATCCGGCCATATTGTTCTGTTCAGTCGACATAGCAGCAGCCGAACGTCTTAAAATTGTTAGGAACGGAACAATTATAAGAACAAGGTTACCGAATCTGGAGCTGAGTCGCGGACTAGGTCGCTCTCTTTAAGACGTTCGCGGCACTGCCTTCGGTGCGCACAGCAGACTATCAACCGGTCGTCTCCAGGATAAAACAGCTCCTCTCAATACTCGCGGTTTTGTGCGAAAACCGAAGCTCTCTAAACACTCTCTCTATTGTGTTTCTGCTCGTTATTTTTTGTGTTTAGAGGGGCTGGGGAGGCAGCTATTTATAGGCGCTGAACCCCTAGGAATATACCCTCTTGTTTGGGGAATAAGTAGGATTAATTAAGAACGTAATTAATCCGACGGAATTAATTACTTATTCCCCAAACAAGAGGGTATATTCCTAGGGGTTCAGCGCCTATAAATAGCTGCCTCCCCAGCCCCTCTAAACACAAAAAATAACGAGCAGAAACACAATAGAGAGAGTGTTTAGAGAGCTTCGGTTTTCGCACAAAACCACGAGTATTGAGAGGAGCTGTTTTATCCTGGAGACGACCGGTTGATAGTCTGCTGTGCGCACCGAAGGCAGTGCCGCGAACGTCTTAAAGAGAGCGACCTAGTCCGCGACTCAGCTCCAGATTCGATAACCTTGTTCTTATAATTGTTCCGTTCCTAACAAACGCAACGCTCGAGGTGGAAGATAATCATAATGGCCCGTGAATTGAGCCTCAGCCTCAGGTGAACGATTTGTCTGTCCAATAAATTCGTCGTCCAGGAGCACACTTTTGATAGCGGATATGGAGATGCCAGCTGCGGATTGAGGACATGGTAGAGCACTGGACCACATTTAAAAAAAAAGGCGGTGAGAACTCGTAAACGAATACCAAAAATAAAAAATTACTATACTCGTTATGAATCCAGAGAGGGCTGAGCCGTGGCCCGGGTCGGCTCTCTGAATCCGCCGCGCTGGAGATGGGATTGATGCTTTGAGATGTTGAGGATGATTGGAGGACTTACAGTCCTTGTAATCTATCCGACTATTGGAGTACTTGTCTGTCTTATGTCCGTATCAGGCGCTGACAAGGAGGGGATGCTGGGGCTGGACGATCTGGTGGAAGCAGGGGAAGAGGAAGACAAGCTGCGAGGCTTGAAGGTATGTTCATCACCTCGCGCCGCGCGGAGCCTGAGAGCGACGCTCATTAAGCTTGGCCATGATCTCGCGATTCGATTTGAATGGCGACGAGCTCCGGGTCATGATGCTGCTTTGATGAGTTTGATGATTGCAAAATAAGACAAAAACCCAAATCAATTCCATCCATTCTTCACAATTGTCTATTGCATATATTGTTACTTACTGTTATCACGTGAATGGATCCATTGATTACTCCCTCTTTCCATGATGATGATGAAGAGAGACAAGAAAGCATCGGGGAGCAGGCTTTTCAAGGTTCTGGTTTTCGTTCTCATTCTCCAAACATGTAGCTGTCTGTGACGGCCAAACTTGTAGCAGACTCCAGACTGTAGCATAATCCAATAACTGGGTCGGGCGGGTTTCCTGGGTCAGACAGAGTACATACATACATACAATAATTTCTTAGAAGAAGAATGAAAAGGACCTGGTGAGGAATCTGGTATTTTGAAGGCCAAGTTCTCTCGGGGGCTCAAATCTGTTTTCCTTTTTGCTGGCGCCAGCACAAGGAAATTATTGCTCTCTTTTTATTTTTATAATGAAAATTATTACTCTCTTTTTAATTATTACTAAATAAATGATCAGCACTTTTTGATGTAGGTAACGGTGAACATCTAATTGAGATAATTAAATTGAACTAGTTTAAATCGATACTTTAATTGCAGCTTGATTTCGAGTTTTACAATATTTTTTATCTTGATTTTATAAATTTTCTAAAAAATTAAATATCGTTTTGTATTCGTGGATGACTTCGAGACTTTCTTGTCTGCAATTTTGTTAGGGAAATATGGAGAGTCACAGGATGTTCAAGTAGGAAACTTGCTTTCAGCAAATTTATAACATTAGTGATTCACGGATGGCCATAATAACAATCGAACAAGCCAAACGAATTATGTTGATCAATCTAAAAGAAAGGAATGTCATGATTTTTGAAGAAAATGTATCGCCACATCAAATAATCTATTTCAAAATTGTGAGAATGGTTGCAAACTAGCTAATAATACCACAAAAAGTGGATAGGAGAACAACGGAAGAATGCGTGAGCGATTTGCATAGGAGACTACTTCCTGGCAATGATGCTTCTACCTACAAAATTCAAGGTATTCACAGTGCAGTAAGTTAAGGATTATGCAGATAAAGAATAGAGAATGTAGTTGCTCCTTGTTGAGAATAAGTTAGCCAATGGAGGAGCTATAGAGAAGGTAGTCTCTCATAGCAATGTAAGGTGTTGTAGTTTTCATTGCAGCATTAGAGTAATGTTAGTGATGTACTAATCCTTGTAACTTTTTTTTTTTGTGAAAACTATAAAATAAATAAAAAGAAATTGGAGGAAAAAAGTTCAAATGTATATGACCTTGGTCAGCTTTTAAGCAAATCACCGGAGAAGAGAATAAACAAGAGTAGAAACAATTGAATGAAGAAAAATAAGAATTGAGAAAATCGATAGAATAAATAAAGAAGGCAGAATAAATGGATGGTCTAAATTTTTAATGATACATCTTATGTATAGTAGTATGGGATCGGTTACTATAACAACACCCCTTGTCTTGTTATAGTGACAACACTAGTCTTCCACCAATAGGAAGGTAGGGATGTGATGACTTTTTTTAGTAGAGTTGACCTAGTGTAAAATAAAAGTAGGGGTATAATTGTCATTATAAAAATATGTTTAAATAATAAAAATATAAAAAATATTTATTTTATTTTCTGCCCAAATTTTTGGTCGCAATAATTCTGCCACCGATCGCAGGAAATCGGTCTCCGGTCACCGGAATATACTTTTTGTCACCATAATATGTTATTTGCCGGAATATGCTTACCGGCGTCCGAATATAGTCATCGGGGCCGGAATATGCCTATCGGCGTCGGAATATGCTCACTGACGGTCATCGGAGTTCGTCAACGAACTTCGTTGACCGGTCAACGGTCAACGATCACCGGATGTTATGGTTAGCATTGTGAGATTTATGGTTTGGTTTCTCATATTTTTTATGCCTTTTGTGGTTTGTTTTATCGTGTTTGTGGTTTGCATTGAGAAGTTTCTGGTTTGCTTTCAAAAACTTTGTAGTTTGTATTGTGATGTTCTTGGTTTGTTTTAATATATTTGTGGTTTGCATTAGGACGTTTATGGTTTGCTTTTTTGTGGTTTGATTTACTGTGTTTGTGGTTTGCATTAGGAGGTTTCTAGTGTGCTTTCGCAAATGTTGTGGTTTGCTTTGTGAGGTTTGTGGTTTGTTTTAGGAGATTTGTGGTATGCATTAGGAGTTTTCTTGTTTGCATTAAAAAGTTTCTGGTGTGCTTTCAAAATTTTCGTGGTTTGGTTTGTGAGGTTTGTGGTTTGTTTCAATATATTTGTGGTCTGCATTAGGACGTGTTTTGTTTGCTTTACCGTGTTTGTGGTTTGTATTAGGGGTTTTTTGTGTGCTTTAGAAATATTTCTGGTATGTTTTAGACAATTTAAGGTCTGCATTAGGAGGTTTCTGGTATGCTTTCGAAATAATTGTGGTATGCTTTGTGAGGTTTGTTATTATATCCGACGTTCTTACTACATTATTGGAATTAGTAACAATAATTAGTAATGTGTATACTTACCAGGTTTGTATACATAATTACATAGTTCTCTCTTAATTAATTATGTTTTCACACACAATTAATTCCTGTCTCTCTAATTCGTTTTAAAATAACCAGTTCGCAAGGGAGAATGGAATCAGTTGCAGGGAAATCGATGATGAAGGAGAGGTGTCCTTTCGAGTGAACTTCTGCACTTCTGCGCTAGTCAGCCTCACAATCACTTACAAACTGGACGAAGCATCAGAGCGCTTCCTCACGATCATTGGCCCAGCCTTGACTGCACTAGCCGCTGGTTGCCCCTGGCCATGCATGCCTATCATTTCATCTCTATGGGTCCAACAAGCTCAGCGTTGGAGTGACTTCCTTGTTTTCCATGCTTCCAAATTAAAACCGTCTTCCACCACAACAGTGATGTTGTAGTTCAGCTTCTAAGGAGCTGTTTCGCATCGAATTTGTGTGTTCTCTTCTGGAAGCTACTTTCGTCCGCCATCCTTGACCGCTTTTATATGAAGAATCCCGAAAGCGTGAAATAATTGAAGCAGAAAGCGAAGAAGAAGGTGATGATAAGGATGGTCAATTAAGTTCGCAATCGTCGTTGCATCTCCAACTTCCTAATCGGTGCTCCCCCTTCCCTCGCCTGGGGTGGGCTTTTCGTCGAACGATTGGCGTACATACTACATTCATGGAGTTTCAATACCAAGAGGTAAGAACCCCCTGTCCGCCCACAGAAATTTGAGCTTCGTTGATAGTTCGTTTCAATTTGTTGTTTTGTGTCTGGGGTTGACAGGAGTATGTAAAGAATTCAAGGGGAGTAGAGCTTTTCACGTGTAGATGGTGTAAAACACTTATGGATGCAATCTGATGAGTCTTATTGAATTGAGAAACAAAGTACATATAGGATTTGAGATTGACTCTAACTCTCACTCTGCTCTCCAACGTTCCACTAACCAGGAAACTCGCTAACACTACTAACTACTCAAACTACTTGAGCTAGAAAAGCTCAACAGCTTTGACTCATTGATCGAGGACCAAAATGCAACAAAACAAAAAACAAAGACTGACCCTACAATAGTGCACAACACAGTATTGCTTATTTAACTTAGATCAAACGGCGCCGTATCCTCCAGCAGTAAACAACCTTCAAATTTGGTGCCTAAATCCTTGAATCCGAGAGTAGAGTGGAATCCTTGTCCAACCAGGACTTTTTCCAACATATCCTCCCCTGAACTGAATCACCTCAGCAGCCAGCTTCAGTTCATCATTCATGCCCTCTTCACTTGTCTTCTGCTCCAGAAACATCACAAACACCAAGTTCCTCCCTCAGCATGCAAAATGCCTCCAAGGACAGACCCTTTGTCATTATATCAGCCACTTGATTCTTAGTGCCACAATACCTGAGCTCCACAGTTTCGTCTCTGACCAGCTCCCTTAAGAAATGAAATCTGACATCGAAGTGCTTGCTTCTTCCATGGAGAACAGGGTTCTTGGACAGCTTGATTGTAGAGTTGTTATCACACATGATGACAGTCCCTTTCTCCACACTTGAATTTCATCCAATGTCAGCGAGAATTCGTCTTAGCCATACCCCTTGAGCAACACAGTATGCAGCTGCTACAAATTCTGCTTCTGTGGTAGACAAAGTGACAACAGGCTGCTTTGTGGAAGCCCGGGATACTGCCCCTCCTGCAAGAAAGTAAATGTACCCACTGGTTAGGGGTGGGCGTTCGGTTGGTTTGGTTCGGTTGTATATACCAATTTTTCGAGATTACAGATACCCCAACCGAATTCGAACCGAGTTATATTTCGGTTCGGTTTGCCCGAACCGAAATATAACTCGGTTCGGTTCAAATTTTTTTGTCAAAACCGAATTTATGCAGCGTGAAGACTTCCCCTCTTTGCCTTCACCCATTACCTCGCTCTCTCTCCTCTTTTTGCTCTTCTCCGCTTTTTCTCCCTCTCTCTAGCTATCTAACTCTGCCTCTTTCCCATAAGCAGAGCAACAAAGCCCAACCCTCCCTGCCTCTTCGTCGTTCCCAGCTCCCACAAAGCCCAACCCTCCCTGACTCTTCGTTCTCTCCCAAATCGATTCGTCTCATCTCCCTCTATCCCCGACCATCGTCTCCGCTCCCCGAATCCCCCAAACCTCAACCATGCATCTCATCCTCTACCTTCCACAGAGATTCAAAAATCTCCCCCAATCACACCCAATCTCATTGATTCTCTCTCACCAACTCACTGGCAGAGGCTACCAATGACACATGCACCGTCGGGGTCAGCAGAGGCCACCGATGACAAATGAGCTGCCGCGGGAAGCAAGAACAGATCCAGACTCTCCTTAGATTCAACATTTGTTTTTATTTTTGTTTTTGTTTGATTCTGATTTGTTCTAGGTTTGCTAATCTGAGGTTTTGTCTTTTTTTATTTGGTTGGTTTTGAGTATAAATGACCGGCGATGAGAAGAGAATGGAGAGAGGGAAAGGATAGGACTCCAATGGCCGGCCAGAGGAAGTCGGTGGCGGTACATCCACGTCAGGGGATGGCGACGGCAAAGAGGCAGGATGCTGGTTCTGGAAGAAGAAGAAGATGATGATGATTTTGGAATGGGCTAGGGTTTTAGTGGCAGAGAATAGGCTTGGGGTTGTGGGCTGTATGTGTGTGAGGGTGGGCTTGGGTTGTGGGATGTGTGAGAGTGGGCTTGTAAATGTGGGTTGTGTGTGAGAGGGAGAGGAATTTCGGTGTGTTCGGTCGGAATTCGGAATTTCGGGTTCGGTTGGCACACCCTGGTTTCCGAAGTATAGGGTTTTGCCTTCCGAATTTCGAACCGAATAACAATAGTTCGGTTTTGGTTCGGTTTATTTCGGGTTCGTTTCGGTTCGGTTCGGGTTTACCGAACCGGTTGCCCACCCCTAACACTGGTGCTCTTCCTATCATCAGAATCTCCTGCATAATCACTGTGTGTGAAGCCCATCAGACTGTCTTCTCCACTTCCTTGTTTGTACCAGATGCCATAGCCCTGAGTTCCTTTCAAGTATCTTAGGACCCTTTTGGATGCCAGTAGATGTTGCCTCGTGGGAGTCTCCATGTACCTGCTCAAAGAACACACAGCAAATATCAAATCTGGTCGTGTGGCTGTGATGTACAGTAGACTGCCAATAAGTTGTTTGTACTCAGTAGCATTCACCAAGCAGCCATCTCCAGCTTTAGTTAGCTTAGTTCCAGGAGCAATAGGGTTGTGCACAAAGTTACACTCAGCCAAATTGAACCTCTTCAGGACCTCTTTTGCATACTTCTGTTGTGAAATGAAAATGCCAGCTTCTCTCTACATTACTTCTACTCCCAAAAAATACTTCATCTTCCCTAGATTTGTCATTTCAAACTCAGCCTCCATTGATCTTTTGAACTCTTCAACCATTTCAGTGCTTGTACCAGTGTACAATACATCATCTACATTGTTGCTAACCAGCAGTGATCCTTTGGTAGTTGTCTTGATGAACAATGTGGCTTCATGCTGGCTTTTCTCGAAACCAGATGCTAGAAAGTAGGTTTCAATGCGACTGTACCAGGCCATGGGAGCTTGTTTTAAGCCATAAAGTTCCTTCTTGAGCTTGTAGACTTTAGATTCCTCCCCAGCAACCACAAACCCTTGTGGTTGCTCAACATACACATCCTCGGTGAGCTCCCCATTTAGAAATGCACTCTTGATATCAAGCTGCCGGACTGTAAGTCCATGATGTGCACCAAATGCCAAGAGACATCTAATGGTATCCCACCTAGCCACAGATGCAAATACCTCATTGTAATCCACTCCAAACCTCTGAGCATACCCCTTGACCACCAACCTAGCCTTTTGTTTATCCAAAGAGCCTGTTTCAGTAAACTTGGTTTTGTATATCCATTTCAAACATATGGGAATAATACCTTCTGGAAGTTCTGTCTGCTCCCAGGTATGGTTTCTCTCAATGCTGTGCATTTCCAGTTTCATGGCCTCATTCCAGATGTCATCCTTGGTTGCATCATCAAAGGTTTGAGGATCTTCTATTGTAGCAGCTATTGCTAACCATTCTGGTTGTACTTCTTCCACACTGTTGCAGTCATAAATGGCCAAATGACTTGGAGGTCTTCTGGATCTGGGACCTAGATCAGTGCTTTTAGGCAGTCCTAGCCCATCAGTTGAAGCATTATCATCATCTTCATCATTAGCATTTGTCCCAGCTGGTGTGATAGGACTTTCAGGACTTGGTGGTTCTTCTGTTGTTTCTTCTGTAGGAATTGAAGTGTCCAAAAGCTGAGGACCTTCTTCCCCATCTGAATCAACAAATGGATCTTCACTTCCTTCCCAAACCAGACTTGTCAGAACTGGTGGAGTGGCAGATTTCAACTTCCAACCTTTACTTTCATCAAACACCACATCCCTGCTTACCACAATCTTCCTGGTTTCTGGATCATAGAGCCTGTAAGCCTTGGATTCAGTGGAGATTCCCAGGAACTGGCATTGAGTAATCTTGTCATCCAGCTTCTTCCTTAGCTTGTCAGATACATGTGCATATGCTACACAACCAAAAACTCTGAAGTAAGACACTGAAGGAGCTGCACCAGACCATAGTTCATGTGGGGTCTTTCCTTGGTTTGCCACTATAGGACTTCTATTTAGGACATGAGTGGTCTAGTTTACTGCTTCTGGCCAGAATCCTGCAGGTACTTGTGTGTCTTTCAACATGCATCTCACCATGTTCATGACTGTTCTATTCTTTCTCTCAGCCAGTCCATTCTGCTGAGGTGTGAGTGAAGCAGTGAGCTGCCTTTTGATCCCAGTTTCAATACATAATGACTGAAACTCACTTAACAGAAACTCTCCTCCCCTGTCTGTCCTAAGACGCATAATAGACAGACCAATTTCCTTTTCTACAGTGACTTTGAACTTCTTAAACCATTCAAGAGCCTCAAACTTAGTAGCCAGATAAAAAAACCCACAACTTCCTACTGTAATCATCAATCAGGGTGAATATATACCTTTTACCACCATTTGAGGTTGGGGTGATAGGGCCACATAAATCTGCATGAATCAGTTTCAATTTTTGAGTTGCCCTCCATTGAATGTGCTTTGGGAAGGCTTGTCTGGTTTGCTTGCCAACCTGACAAGTAGCACAGATTCCAACAGCTCCTTTTAAGTCTGGTAATCCTGTAACCAGACCTTTCTTCTTTACTTGAAGTAACCCATCTGGATTCAAGTGACCAAATCGCCTGTGCCAGAGACTTAGAGAAGATTCCTTGGTATCATCAGCATGCAGCCAGTGAGCTTCAACCCTGTTGGATTCATCTTTAAGCACAAACATTCTGTTGGCTCTCATACTGGTTTCTAGCAAGAAACCCTTGTTTTCCAGGAAAATTTTGCATACATTTCGTTTGACCAGGAACTCCAGGCCCTTCTCTTGTAACTGTCACATGCTTAGCAAGTTTGTCTTTAAGCCTGGTACAAAGAACACATCACTGATTTGCAATGAAACTCCTCCCAGTTGCAGCCTCACTTTCCCTTTGCCAGCAACCTCCAGTTTGCTGTCATTTCCCAGCCTCACCTTTCCAGTGACATTGGTGTCCAGATCACCAAACCATCTCTTATCTCCACTCATGTGATTACTGCATCCAGAATCTAAAAACCACCAGTTTTCCATGTCTTCCATCTTGGAATCATCCAGAAAGGCCATTAGCATAACATCACCAGACAGTTCAGTAGAGTGATTGGAATTGCTACTGTGAGCAGAATAATAAGCCTGTTGATTGCTGTACCATTCAGGGCACTCACTTCGATAGTGTCCCATCTTATGGCATTTAAAGCATTCAACATGCTCCTTATTCCAGCCTCTTCCTCCCCTACCTCGACCTCTTGCTGAAAAACCACCTCTTCCTGCTCCTCTTCCTCCAACTTCATATGTCATTCTCAAGGCCTGATATTCCTCAACCAGAGGTTTCTTATGAAACTTCTGTTCATGAACAAGTAGGGAACTCTGCAGAGCATCAACAGAGAGAGTTTCTATGTCTTTGGACTCCTCAATTGAACAAACAACATAGTTAAACTTCTCAGTTAATGTCCTTAGGATTTTCTCAACTATCTTAACATCAGGCATATCTTCACCGCAATTCCTCATATCATTTGCCACTACCATTACTCTACTGAAGTAAGCTGTAATGGTCTCACCTTCCTTCATCTCAAGAACCTCAAAAGTTCTTCTCAAACCTTGCAACTGAGCTTTCTGAACACGAGCATTGCCCTGATACTTAGTCTTCATAGCATCCCACAGCTGCTTTGCAGTAGCCTTGTTGGTGATGGTCTTCAAGATTGATTTATCAATGGAACTGAATAAGTAAATTTTGGCTTCAAGATATTTAAGCCTGAGATCATCAAGGCTTTTGGATTCAACAGCAGTCAGTGGAGTTCTAGGGGCTGGTTCCTGAATGCCATCACTCACTACTCCCCAGTACTCCTTGGATCTCAGCAAGTTCTCCATCAAAAGGCTCCAGTGATCATAGTCTCCATCAAACTTTGGCAACCCAACCTGTGCAAAACCAGCATTATCACTCATGATTGCTATGAAAGAACCTCTCGCCCTGAAAATAGCTTCCTCACTATAATACCCTCGTGTTTCCCAATCCCAGATCTTGCAGATCACTCAAATTTCACTCTTAGAACAAACACTCAGAAAGCTTGAAATCCTCTCAACACAGC